TTGTGTTTAAAACCCCAAAAAATATTTATTGTAATTTTACGAGAAAACGATTTGTAAACCTAATACTAAAGTGTTCTGCACAAGATTTTCAACGTTTCTCATTGTGACGCACGCCTAGTTAACTCTGTGTGCTTTTCTCAAGCGCCCGAAACACACAATCTAAATTTTCGACTTTAATCACTTAAAATTATTTGTTTTTCCCACATAACGTAATGATTTTTTGCCTCGCAAGTCTTTTTCTTGAAACCTTTTGACTTTATTCTCGTAACATTTAGAAGTTATTCTCATGATATTACGACGTTAACCTCGTAATTTCATGTGTTTACTTGTTATTATTATAGGACAGCCCAGTAGTGGTGTAAATAGTCAGAGAAAAAGTAACTTGTAACTGTAAAGCATAAACATTTCAAGAGTTGATGCCAGTGAATAAAAAGTAATTGTAACGCTAGCTGTTGCAATCCATTTAAATAAAACCTCCAAACTCACCGTCAGGGAAAGTACACCTAAAACACTCACTGATACACGTGCAGCTCAAACATTGCTTTCAACAGGACAATCTGTTTAAACATCTCGAATATCGTCATTTACCTGAGGTTGGGGAGATTGATTTTTCTGGAGTAGCAGGCAGCTGAGCAGAGTAACAGCACATTTCCCAGTCAGAGCTTTTTTTAGCGAGGTTCCTGCTCAGCGTTGAAGCACCAGAGTTAGCTTGTTGTTGTTGAACTCTTATCTTCATCCTGTCGAGAAAATTATACAGTAAACTTCTATTTAACGACAAATCACAAACATTTACGGTAGCAAAATAAAAAACAGAATTCATGACATCTATTCCACGGTATTGTTCTTACTCTGAATACTGCTCCACACTGTGGACGGAGAGAGAGAGAGTTCCCTGAAACACCTGGTAGCTGAATGGTGGTACAAAAGTATTGAAGTGATTTGTGTCCATCTGTAAAAAGTAATGTTTTATCGGCCTGGTTTAAATTCAGGGAACTGTTCTCAATTGTGGTTTTGTACACAGTGCACTGCAAGTAAATCTACAACCCAAGCTGTTAAGGCAACTTTTTTATTATTAGATTATTGAATATTAAGGTTGAGAAACCTTCCCTACATTGACCCCCATATTAAATGTTATTGGCATTAGAAACGAGAATCTAAAAAACAAAACCACCAACCCTTTTCTTACCTGAACTTTATTTTCAGAACACATTTAAAAATGACCAAAACAGCACAAACATTTACCCCAAACAGCAGAGACTTATTGTAAAATAAACAAATATGAAAAATACATGCCTTGAGAGAAAAAATCATCTTACCTAATAAGGCCATTTATAAAGTGAATTTGCGGGCATAAGCCGGCTTTGTGTGAAATCATAAACCAGACGGCACATACACGCTCGCACAGAAGTTGAATTGTACATAGGATAGTATGGAGTAGTAATAAGAGAAAATAAATGGTCTCAAATTACATCAACATGCTTTTGAAATAAAATGGGTCAATTTTATGTTAGGAAGTACAAAAAATAGGCACGTTTTATTTTATGATTTCACACTGATTCCATTGCTATATTGAAGAAAGATGAAACAAAACATCCTTCCGGCATATTTTCAGTTTTTAGTATCGTCTTAAATGTGACTGCCTGCAGTGACCAAAGTCAGACATCACAGTGTAAAGTGGCTGCTCACCAGCTTTGTTTCTCCTTTAGGAAAAAAAAATTGGCTGGGGGCAGATTGAAGGCCACTGATGTAACAACAGTGCACTTTACTTAAGACAGATGTTTTCAAAAATACATACAAAAACATTCACACAGTCTTGTTTGTTTGTTTGTTTGTTTGTTTTTTTAATTATGCTGTTTTTAAGTTAAACTTGATCAAAATGGCTGACTTTAGACACTTTTAAGCCACATTCCTGTTTACAACAAATTTGAAAGCGTTAAAGTAGGAGCATGTTTGTGCATTGGAGAAAAGAAAAAGGAGCCAGTTCACAAAAACTAAAAGAAGAAAAAAAAATTCTTTCTATTGTGGCTGGAAAGAAGAAAAATGTTGACACAAACAAAACAAAAAAAAACCAAAGTGAGCAGGTGAAGATGAGAAAAACAAATATATCAAAAGATGGGAACACGACAGACAGGTGCAAAACAGGGTATTTAACACAGAAAACCAAAAGGAAACAAAAGTAACAAAAGGATAGCATGGATTTACAAAAGCCCTTCTGAAGATGTACAGGACACAACTGAACTGGTGTCCATGGTGGAGTTAGTCAAAAGACCAAGTGGAGCCAGCGGTTATCTCAGGCTAAACCCTAAAGTCTTCAGCATCTAAAAAACTGTGCAGCTGCTTTTCCTTCATATCTTTATCACCTGGTTCATGATGGTTGTTCGTCTGAAAATCATCAATGTGTCTGGTTTGACAGATTTGGAATTTAGTTGGCACCAGGTGACAAACGTACAGTAAACAGTTCAAAGCTGGACCTCCTGCTTAGTTTTTGTGACGTGGACCAGCGGGCTGCAGTGACAGACACACACACACACACAAACCTCAACAGTTGGAGTTAGTTTGGGGAAAAAGCCAGAGATTTGTCATGTTTAATTAATTTAATATTGTTTGGGTTTTTTTAACACATAAAATCACGTTTGACCACACATGCACACACAAACACACGCACAGAGAACACCACTGTGAACTTTCCCTCCCACACTGGAATCCATCGAAACCAGGTAAGTACTGCTATCTGGTTGTCAGAAGTTTTGGATTCTGGGTGATGGGAGGAGAGGAAATCTTAAAGGCCGACCGGTGTGTTGGAAGTCGAGGCAGTGACCATGGCAGAATTGGTACTGAATATTTTGAAATCAAGAAGAACCAAGGAATACAAGAAGAAAAAAAAAGTCCAGCAGGATTTTTCAGGTTCACAGAAGGTAGTGGTAGAGAAGAAAGCGGCCACAAGTCTAGATCAAGTTTGGTGTTAAACAAGAAACCAAACTGGCAGTCCTGGCTTCGCAGAAGACCAGGAGCATCTGAGTGATATGTTGTTGTAGCCTTGAATATTAAAACTCCTCCTCCGGCTGTTCTTCAGCGTCAGGTATGACAAAACCCTCCTGGAAGACAGAGGGAGGGGAAGAGAGGCGTGAAGGACCTGGAGCTGCCAATCGGAACAACTCAGTTCAAGACTCATTTTCAGATTTTGGCAAACACCTAGCAAACTTGTTTAAACTGACACATAGAATACATACCTGCACCAAATTCTGTATAATATGTTCCTTTTATAGGAATCTTGTTTTCAATAGGTCAGCTCTGCACTTAAATAAAAAAACCTTTGTGACTTCAAGCCGAAGAAGAGTTGTAATAATGCTAAGTCACTTTGACAAGTCTGGTACTAGATGGCTTTACTGCCAACCAAATGGCAGATGTCCTACTCACATCTGTGGCGTAGAGAATATCCATGATCCTCAGCAGTGTGGGGTCGCCTTCATCTTCCTTCTCTTGGCAAATGAGCTCGATGCTTCGCAGCTTCCCAAAATAAAAGTCTCTCTCCTTCTCCATGTCATGAATTGTAGATTTTAGGCCTTCAACCTGTGGGATGAAAGTTAGACAACATTGACAAATGATACACCAGATAATTTTCTCAGATGTTGAAAGAAAATGTTGCATAGACTGCCTGTGGAGCCTGACCTCGTTTATCAGCTCTACTTTCTCCTCATCCATTCCTCCCATTCCGGGCTTTTTTACACTGGAGGGATTCAACTTGGGGGCCACCTTGGCTACAGGTGGTCTCTGTGGAGCTGAGAAAACAGAAATAAAAGGTTGTTGTCACATCATTGTTGACAAAAGTGACAACAGGTTACAGAGGCTAATTGAACCTAAATGTCAGTGTATTTGACCATCCACAGCTCAGACCTTGATTCGTGACTTTCTTTGGGGGTTTGTTGAGAGCTGATGAAGCTTGAGCAGGTGTAGGCATGCTATCTTGGCCCTGCCTCGCCTCCACTGGATCATATTCTTTCCCGTCATAGTTGGCATCAAAGAACTTCTTGAACCACTGAACAAATTCAAAGTTGTCTTGGAACTTTCCCTTCACCAGTTTGTCTACCGGTATTATCTGAAAGAAAAATGACATGTAATGACAGCATTAGAGATAGGCATGAGTATTACATTATTGGCTAATCATGATGAGGTGATGTAAGTCTTGTTTTATTTGTCTTTGTGTATAGTTTAAATATTATATGCCATGTTTTATTTTTAGTAGTATTATTTCTTATATTTCTTATAAACTAAGGTGAAAGTGTGTTTTTCTACTTACTTTATCCACCCCCATCTTTTTAAAGGAGACTTGTAGTAGCTTGAAGTTGTGAATGTACTCATGCTCCAGCTTGGCACCAAATTTGACTTTCTTGAGAGGCACAGAGTTGGTAAACAGCATGTCCATGAATTGGCAGTAGGCAGCACCTGAAAAACAAAATGTACTCTTCATCCCCTTAAATGTGGAAGGAAATATGAAATATAATAATATTCTTTAGTTTGAATTTACTAAAAATGTTTAGTTGAAGACTACGCTGATATACTGGCAGAAATTGAAGAAAGACACAAAGATCTTCTTCAACAGCTCTTTTCTTGGTTTATATAACCATCTGCTGCCACATAGTGGAAGAGGATTTCATTGCTCTTTGTTTCACAATTACTATAAGGTTAAACTGGTCCATCAGTAACTTTGCACCAAAGTGATCTGCAGGATATGCAAAACCTCTCTATCATATTGTGGAAGTATGTCAAGCAGAAACACTGTCAGCTAACAGTAAATTTGCACTTACATTCTCCATGTGATCTAAAATATCAAAGTTCAACTTTGCTTGGATGAGAGGTGAAACGTCTTCAGAAACCTACTCCGTCCAGTTGCCTCCTCGATGTGACGTTTTTGGATAAAATGACCTGGACGACTGAGAACCTACACAGACAAGCTTTAGCAATAACACAAAATAAAGTCAATTAAAATAATGTTAACTTGGTATGGGAACTGAAATGTATCGTAAGAATCAATTTTAAAAACTAGTCAGTGTGGCATCTTTTTTTTCAATCTGCAAAAAATACGCTGCTTTATTGCTGCTCAGGATATTGGCACCTATATTTTGAGGACTTGGGTGTTTTTTAGCAAAATTATGGTTAGTAAAAATACACACTTTCTTGACGCTATGGCTGAGTGATATAGAAAAATACACAAAAAAATGTATTTAAGGCAGACTTACATTATATAGGGATAAATTATGTACACTTAATTAAAACACCACTTACTGGTAACCACTTGTAACAGCAGTTAAATATTAGCAGGATATTTATTCACCCAAAGAAATGCTGAATATAATTACACCAGGTACCTTACAATGTATAAAATTACATGAGCTTCTATAAGTTATATTTTTAACTCAAAGATTATTCAATACAATCAATTTAGTAAAGAAATATGTCAAAAAACATGCCTTTCCACATATGATTAATACAAAATGTACTAACATGTCTTAGATGCTCATCTACACCTGAGGATTTAGGGGTATACGTCTACAAAAAAAAAAAAAGAGTATCAAGTAGGTGCAGGCAGATGGGCGTGATACAAAAAAGGTCATGTGACGCAGGCGGGGAGACGAAAGGGTCATGTTTCCTTCAGGCTTCAATCACTAATAGCCATGGTTTTTGGGAAGGGACTTTCTCACCCTTTAGAAACTAATGTATGGTGTCATTCAGCTGAAAGGTAATAGGTGTACCTCATAAATTGACACCAGCTAATTACATCTACATATTTTACTACTTTTAATTTGATCAAGCTTCCAGTCTTCAGAGAATGAATTTAATTGGGGTTAAGGTCGTTGTTTGTAATCTGATTGACATCAGGATGAATGACCTGTAACAGACCTCAAGACAAACAGAGTCCCACAGTCATGAAAGGCCTCTCACTCGCTCACACCCATCTATTCTTCAAACAACAGACTTTCCCAGGACTCTTTCAGAGTGACTCTTGGAAGGAACACATCTCTCTCACCTGAGCACAACATTTCAATTTTGGTGAGGTTCATCTGTAGCGCTTCATTGATCCAAACCAGCATGTCATGGCGACTTAAGTTTTCACTGGTCACTGAGGTCGAGTAAACGTTTACAGCCATCGTCACTCACGTGCTGCAATAGAGAAAAAAAATACATAATTTTATACATATTCCTAGTCTAGTTCTCCAAAACCACTTACTCAGGCAAATTATTTGATCAGCCAATTGACACAAGGACTTTAAAAGAGGCTAACATTTGTTTGGATCTGTGACACTGTGCCACCATCGTGAGAGAGTGATCACCTCACACTTGTTTGTGAAGGAAGAAAATACCGTATGACCAAGCTCTGACTAATGCATGCAGAAATGTAGAACAGCTGCAGCTCTTAATTCAGAAATTATTTTTGTGGAAGCAAATTCTCAAACTATATATGGTACTGGCTAACAAAATTTATTTTGAGATTTGTAATATATATACAATTGTGAAAAAATAATTTCCTAATGATGTGTGGGTATATACACTCACCTAAAATACAGTTTATTAGAAATATTTAAATATATTAGAATGATTTTTTTTTGTAATGTATACTGAAGTAGACAAACTAATTACCATTTGTGTTTTGCAACTGCTGAGTTCACTGTTTTATCCTACATGCTTGGGCAGGAGCTGTAAGGTGTGGAAGAATAAACCACAGCAACTGTTCAATGAAAGATGTCCTACAGGGTGGACAGTTTTCTCTGAGTGCTAAATTAAGGGAACAGGTTCTTATTCGTACAAAGAATGAGTTTAATACCGAATGCATTGTTTACCTTTTGCATTGGCGACATAAGCCAACGAATGTCTGCACCGCTTTTAACGGGAGCAAATTTCTTAAATTGTATTCGTATTTATAAAAACAAACGTTTCAAAAATCACTGACTTCATTCAGTTTAAATCCGACATAAAATGGTTGTATGCTTCACTTTCACAACTCTCGCATATTCATAGAGAGACGAGAATGATTAATTTTCAAACAATGTTTAAACCACAAATTTAAACTGAAACATATCAAAAACATAATTAAATAATGTGGCGACCGGAAAAAAAATAAAGCCGCGACTACCCAAATATGACGAGTATGAAGAGATTAGTACGCGTCTCTGTGTAAACTTTAGAGGAATTTACAGCTGCTGGGCCCGTTCAGGAACTCTGATGCTAGTGTTAGCCACATTAATTCAGTCATGGGAAGCTATGCTTTCTTTAAAAAGATAGCTTAGCTAACCCGCTAATATTCGGTCTGTTTGAACTATGAATGTTAAATTAGAGTTGGATTGTGGATTTTTGTTATTAAAATAACTATTACAACGACAAATATCTTAACAAAGACTACCCTCGTTAGTGACGCTGATTAAATAACCGGCTAAGGCGAGTCTGAATATTCCAGTCATGACAGCATCCCCGCCCTGAACTCAGCGGCCACCGAGTAAGCTTCTGTTTGCCTAACACTGACCATGCAAAACATATTTAACATTTCCATATATAAAACTATGATTATATGAACACCTCGCAAGCCGCTTGACTAGCTACGCATCACTAAATTCCCCTCACGGTATATGTGATTCTTCACAAACCACTGGCTAACGTGTAAGCTAGCAGTGCTTCCGCGCCTCTTCACATGCTGGCGAAAGAAATCCGTTAGATACTACAGTTACACTCACCAACAGTCGATTTGACTTCCACAGCTCTTTATTTATTCGATCTCGACTGTGCTTCTATGTCATTAAGGGCAGACGTAAGCTTATTCGGCCGCTATCGCTACTTCTGCTTTCTATCTTTTCTTCTTGGCACTTCACGTTCACTCTACCGGCAGCGGAAAGATGGAGTCGTGACGTCGAGGAGACTAGGGCACGCCTAAAATGTGACGACCAGAACGTTTGTTGAGAGTACCGTTTTCTTGTAATATGCTCTGCTGGGTTGTAGTTTTAGTGCACTTTTATATATTTGACATATATATTTGATTTTAAAAACCAGGAAATGTATACATAAAAGGGAAACTGCTTTGGACAAAAAGGGGAGACACTGTTGTTGTATTCTATTGTACAGTTCTATGTTTATATATATTTATATGTATATGTATATGTACATATTAAGAAAAATTACCGCCTGCCTTGTGTCACTTGTACAATTGTAAATTAAAAGTGGGATTTTTAACAAGGTCAATGGTGCAAATACATTTGTTAATATCTCAATGAATCAGTTTACAAGTACAAAACATTAACAAAAGTACTCTAATAAAATGATTTTATGACCATAAATAAACGTTTTAAATTTTAACGTTTTACATTGTTGTTGTTGTTGTTTTATATTTATGATATAAAAGAAATGTTTTGGTCCCTATTCTATTTGATATAACAAGGGCATTAAATATAGCCAGTCTTGTCCCCGTGGCCAGTTTAGGTACTACAACGCAGAATTGAACCAAAAACAAAACAAAGAAGCATTCCCAGAATGTTCAACATGCTGTAGAATCAGAATTGGGATGCAACCAATTTAAGGTTTCAAATATAAGCATTGACTTATCAGATATGTCACAGAGAAGACACAATAAAATGGGACACTGCCCCGGACCATTCTGAAATGTAATTATTTAAAAGACTCTTTATTCATGTACTGAAAAACTAAAAAAAATGTTGTTAGCTAATAAAAAACGATCAGTATAAAACATTCTACTTTGAGAAAACTCAATTGTTTGTGCAAAAGTTAAATACACAAAAGATGCAGCATTGTTCATTTGACAAACTATTTCCACACACAAGATAAAAAATGTTACACGTGAGCATTTGATAACCAGGTCAAGTAAATTGAGTATGGGTTCTTATAAGAGTAACATTTGTCACATTATTCTTTGCAGAACAATCTACATTTGTCATCTACATATAAAGCTAAACAATTAGCCAATAACCCACTGTTTAAAATACAATTACATTAAAAATTCAGGAAACAGTTTTTCACAACATGTTAAAATGAAAAAATTAAAGTAAATTAACATATATGTAAATTAAAATATATTCTGCTATTCTCAAGGGAGTGTATGAATAAAACAAAGAGGAAGTAGCAGCTGAGTTTTTCTGTCGACGCTATAACAATAAAATATAGTTTTTTTAAAACTAACAATCTCATGAGGTATTTTTTTTCTACATAATCAAAAAAATTTAACTAGTCCTTGTAAAAACAATGTATAATTAGTACTGCCTTATGCTAAAAACAAATTAAATCTAAATAATTAACACCTAATAAAGAGGTTGTTGTTGCCTTCACCAGATCTGACTGAAATGAGTAGCTCCAAAGATACCTCGCAGCAAAAGTGACCTCATTTGGAAAAAACAAAATGGATATATTCAACATGAACAAGGGCTGGAGGACATGAGCACTCAATCCAAGACAAAGAGCAGCTTTGGAGCCAAAGTAGCTAATATTCCCAGAAAGTACGGCCATTGTGTGACACCATTTAAAAAGCGAAGATAAAGTGACTGTGTGTCAGTAAAGCACAAAAGCTTAATTGTGGACACATGCACTCACGCACACACACTAAACCACCCCTCTATCTGTGTTGCGGTACTTCTGGAGAGAGAGGAGCGGATGGGGATGGTTGAGTAGTGGAAGGTATAGACGTGCAACATGTGGAACATGTGGAACACGAGGTGGGTGTCGTTAACAGCTCCTCACAGGCAAAATAGTCCTTTAATGGAGCAAAGAGGTGACGGATGACTGGCACACTCCACGCCTTTCCCAACACCTTCTGCCTCTGCTGTCTGCTCATACTCCGCACATCAGTGTAATGTTTGGGGAAACCGAAGATCCTGGTTTGACAGCAATGTACAATAAGTGTTATTAAACATTCCTAAATTTGGAATAATGTGCATTCTAGCTGAAAAGAGCAGGTGGATTATTTAGGGGCAGAATGATACAACATGAATGTTGTGTGAAGGCCAGTGTGAACTTTTTTGCCTACCTTTCCAGCTCAGTGATCCACAGGCTGTCCTGTTTGCCGTTCTGGAGAACTGGAAGCTGATTCACCTCTTTGCCTTGCTTCAGAGAGTTTGGATTGGTGGTGATTGTCCTCACTTTTGTCACCTTAAAAATAAATGCAATTCATCAAAAAATAAAATAGAAAGATGGCAGATGAAAAGAACACACTCAACAGAAGAAAAATAAAGTCATTACTGACTCTGGCTTTTCTACCAATCTCCAAACAGTCCTGGAGATTTAGCCTGTCACTCTGAGAAGCAGTGATGGGTCTGAAAATAGGGAAGACGACACATTTTAGTTGAGCAGTATTTCAAAGGACATGGCCAAATGTATTGCTTAACAAATAAAACACACATTTAGATATAATAAACAGACAAAATCAATAACTAACCTGTCCATTCCTGGGATGTTCCCCCAAAAATAACGAGCTCTGTGGGCCGGACTAACTCTGACAGCATCCACCAGCACTGGGTTGCACTGTTAAAGATTCAGAGAAATGCATTAGTGCAGTCCCCCACAAAATGGGGGGAGAGGGGAGTGGGTGAAAATGAATCAAAGCAGTTTGATATGAAAGTTAATGGAAGAAAACAGAGAAAACAGTAAGAGAAAAAATAAAACACGTTTTTCCATAAACTTTATAAAACTAAACCAGGACAGACCTCAAGAAAGCGGCAGATGTTGACTTTGTCGTGTAAATTCATGAAGACAACATTCTCAAATAACCAGAAGAATGGAGTGGGGTCTTCCTCTTTGGGCTTCAGCAGCTGAAGAATGCGGTAGAACTCAAAGAAAAGTCTGCCAGTGCCCTCTGCAGGAAGCATTTTGTAATACATTCATGACATTCATGAAAACTCCAAAATTATTGTTCAGGTTTTATATATGTTTTTTTTTTTTTGCTCATTGAACTTATCAAATCATTTAATTTTATGTTATCTAATTAGGTTGACTTCCAATTATAATGAACAAAAACATACCGTAGATGCCTTTTCTGATAGGGTTGACGATGGAGAGGTCATTACAGGGGCTTCCACCAATCAGTAAATCAAATGGACCCCACTCATCAATCTGGAAAGACACAGTGAAATAAAGTGCAGTATGAATCAGTTAACAGTCCCTGATCTGTCAGATAACTACAAATCTGGGTAATTTAAAATAATGAGGATAATACATAAAGGCAGTAAAATCATAATATTGTAATTAATTTGCCTTGTTGAGTCCCTCCCGTACTTAAGAAAGGAGGATTGGGGTTTTAAATGACTCAAACAGGAAAAAGCTTTGACTGAATAAAAAAAATAGTTTAAAATTACTCTTGTCCTTGGTCAATACGAGTGAAACTTTGACGTACGTGTTCTTTGGTGATTAAACGCACGTCACCAACATGAATTATTTTTGCATCGTGATTGACAGTTGACACAGCGATGGAGTCCTCGCAGACTTCTGAGGCAACGTATTTTTCCACCTTAAAGCCAAGTTCCTTCAGCACCTGGTAACCTGAACAACAGTAAAGTAAAAGCACATTTATACTAAGGGGGTGTTTCTACATTCAGTAGATGAGGAAATAAGGGTGACTGTACTCACCTGTTGCTATGCCATCAAACAGAGAGAGAACTCGCATTGGCCTGCGCAGGTTAGCAGGGATTGATGGGTAAACCCGATGTGGCTCCTGAAAAAGAAAATAAACTAATTAGTGATTTCTTATTAATTAAATGCTTTTTATATATATTATATATATATATTATATATATTTTAATCAACTTTTATTTTGTTAGGAAACGGCATTTTTAAACAGCCACGTCAGGACAAAAATATTTTTTTATAGTTTGTGTGTCTGTCAAAGTGATTGTTCCAGTGTTGCTCACTCACAACTTCCATGGCACTGTTGTTGGCAAAAACCTCCTGAACTCGGACACTCCAGTCTTCTCTGGGGACCAGAGAACCATGGGTTTGGTGAGGCTGACACAGGTAGCAGATCCACGGGTCCTCATCCTTCAAAGAGTCAAATGTCCCTGGACCTACCAGGATATTCAGGCAGTCCTCACAGAAGGACCTGCAGACAGAAAACAGGCATGGATACAAAAAGGATCTTGGAACTAAAGTTTTTTTTCTGATATAGTGATATATTTCTGATATATCAATCTAATTAAATACCTAGTAACAAGAACTAAAGTTTTTTTTCTGATATAGTGGTTTCAATCTAATTAAATACCTAGTAACAGACAAACAGCACTGAAATCAGAAGACAATTTTCTGTAGAAAAAGTGAGGATTAGACTGACCTGCAGCAGCTGTCATTGCCACACAGTATGACCTCCAGTCCATAGCAGCAGATGGTGCAGTAGGACTGATATCCATCCACATCGTAGCGGTATAGTGTTTCTGTGAAGTTATTCTGAAAAAAGAGAGAGACAGTTCAGTACAGCCAAAGAAAACAGTCTAAAAAGGAATATGTAGCTGTTGGTCAGATTGGTTTGAAATGAATTTTGAGGATGCAGGTATTTCTCACACAGAGCGAGAAGTACTGGGTCATTCCAATAATAATTATTACTGCTGGTGAGGTAGCAGGGTGTTGGTTCTTCGTTACATACCTTACAATGTAGGCAGAGGCCACCTTTGAATAGAGGGTGAAAAATTACTATGTCCTCGGCTCCACAGCACAAACAGAATTCTGTAACAACGAATCATAGAAGAGCTCAGTAATGATACAGGAAATAGATGATGACACAGGGTCAGAGCTCACCCAAAAATGTTCACAATTCTACTACAATACCAGTGATAGAATGTCTTTTTTGGGAAAGACAGTACATTTTTAAGAAAAACAACAAAAACACTGAACAAATTACTGCATTTTTATTATGTTGTTTGATCACACCCTCTCTCAGTGCCCTAATTTCTGGTCCACTGGTGTGGGGGTAATGTACGTTAAGTTAATCTGCTGACCATGAAAAAGATGCACAGCCTTTAATTTTCAGACTGATGACTACTTTGATAAAAGCACGGCCAAACTCTGCAACAAAGAGTTTTCTTGTCGACACAGCTGACATTGCCTACAACAGTCCCACCAGACATCAATGGACCAGATGACAGGGTTTGTAACTTGGAAAAGAAGTCTTGAAATTTTGCTTCTGTTAAACGTTTATTCAATAATGTGAACTATAACAACTTTTATATAAATGAAAAACTTTGCTTATTTTCCTAATGGATAAAAATGGAATTAATTGCTGTTAAAGAAACTCAAGGCCTCTGTTTGATGTAATGTTTGTTTTCATCAAACTTCTGTAGTTACTAAACACTTACCTTCGATATTCAGTTCCTTATCCTTGATTCTCAGAATGATCTCCTCTGCAAACAAAGAACTCATCATTAATTGCAAAATCTATGAATATAATAAATGTTATGTAAAAATAAACTGAATGGTTTGTTACCTCGGATCTTCTGGTCCGGCTGTGTGTAGTCACCGCTAGTGTGGTTCACTTTGTTGTACGTTTTTACAAAGCTTTTCTTTTGTTGTTGCACAAAATCTGGAGGCATCTCTGCATCAACCTGGTCAAACTGAAGTGTTTTCTTTCTCCCTCCCCTCCCTCGTGTCCATCCCCCGCTTCCCCGCCCTTTCCTCCATCCTCTCTTGCCTTTCTCCCATCCTCCTTCCTTGCACTCATCATTTTCTCCTTTCCATTCTCGATTATTTTGTTTGGCCTTGTTCCATCTTCCTCTTCCAGACACCTTCTCCTGCCATCTTTCATTCCTTCCAGTTGTTCCATCGTCTCTTTTCGAAGAGGACCTCTCAGTGGAGTCTGTCGGGACAGTTGCATCACCGTTGCTTGTAGATATGAAGCCTAACAAAGATCCTTTGAAGAAGAGAAATCAAAACATCAGAGAATGGTTCATATTCCTCTATGTTTGTATTTGAAGTAACTTGTTCTTTGCATGCAACAGTATTGTGTGCAAAGAACGCAATACTGTATTTATCGCTGTCTCGTCAACAGAGCAGCACTGATTCTCTACAGCAGTGATGGTCAACCAGTGGCTGCAAGGCCAAAACCAGCACACCAAACTGTCCAATCCGGCCCGTGACTAGATTCCAAAATTGTGAGGATCAAAGAGAAAATAGCGTGTTGGCCCCACTGTTGAAGGCTAAATATTCTTTCAGTTTTGCATTAAAATTTAAAATATATACAAACAATAAACTTCAAATAATATTGTAAGACAAAAATGGGATTTTTTTTTTTTACATTTTATTTGAGTCGGCCCACAAGGTGTCTGTGCAGAAAAAATTTGGTTGTTCAACAAATATAGTTGGTGACCACTGATGTACAATAAATTTGTTAATAAATTAATTTATAATTCATTTCATTAATTTCTCTAAGTATAACCTTCCTGAGTTATCAGGTGAGGGTGGGGTTACACCCTGGACACGTCACTATTTTATCACAAGGCCACAAATAAAACAATATACACACTTACATTTGTATTTACAAATCAATTTAGAGTGATTAACCTCCTACATGTGGACTCCACAAAAAGACTAGGGACAGAACCCATGATGGGAGCGGTAAATCTTATTTGTAATACCTGTTGGTTTAAAGCCATCCTGTCCTGTGGGTTGAAATCCTGCAAAGGCCCAGTCCAACATCTGCTGCACAAGCTCATCTCTCTCTTCTGCACTTGCTGAAAACGTTTTCTCACAACGATGTGCAGCCTCCTATTATATGACAACATAATGTTCATTAATACATGAGTTGCAAACACAGTTTCAGAGAAACCTGTGTGTGAAATACTGTCAAACCTGCAGTGACAGAAAAATGGCTTCGTGGTAGTTGAGGAGGGTGGAAAAGGATTTGGCACAGAAGAGCTCTCCAAAGTCAGCAAATGGTTTCAAAGTCCTTGTTTTGACCTGGGAAATAAATCAAGTTGAAGAATTAAGTAAATACATACAGTATTTTTTTAGGCAAAGATAATAAGATAAAAAGGTAATGAGCAACGTAGCAGACATGGTCACAAGACATATGATTTAACTCAAACAAATCAAAACTTTGTCCAAATGTAATACTGCTCAAACAACACACAGGCAATACACATGCTACTCACCTGAGAGCACATGTTCTGTCCATACCACTCCACTATTCTTTTCTGTGGATGCTGAGTCCGTTCTTCAAAGGGTAGGATAATGGCTGGCCAAGGAGGACGGCCCTCCACGCTGACCCAGACAAGCTGTCTGCTCAAGTACTGTGCAAAACAGTAGAAGTAGAATTAGACACATCACAACATAAAATGTTTACTGAGTAAATATTAAAACTAGACTTATGTTTAGCAGAACTTTCAAACTGGCTGTAACCTGACGTACTTCTGAGTTTTGCTGTTTGGTTGTTAAGAGTCTGTTGTCAGAGTTGTCATCCTCATCATCGTCATCATCACTGCTGCTTAAAGCATATGCTTTCAAGTGCCGTGGCCTTAGCGCTTCTGAAAACCGTGAAATATTAAGATTAATATTCACCTTGTTAGAGAAATTACTTCATTTAGAAGTGTTGAAGTAGGAAAACTGATCATGCTTTACATTTTTGTAGACACACGCAAGTCCTCAGCCCATCAGGCCCCTGTTTTTGTTTTTAAGTTATAAAATGTCTTACTCTTTCGGCTGCCTGGGGAGCTCTCAAATGTTAATTCGACCACATCTGAAAAACATAATTGCACTGGTCATTATTATGGACAGGTTTGTCATTACTGGTTGCATATGTGAAGAAATCATGTTTGTTTTAATTGTTGCCCAGAATCATACCAGAAGAATCATCTGTGTAATCAGGGTCATCTGTACTGTTGTGTCGCTTAGACAAAGGAGTAGATTCCAACGCTGCTTCCAACAATCTGTTCATTTTTCTCGATGAACTTTCGTCGTCATCTACATCCATCCTGTCTGCACCACCGCACGGTACAGAGGATGGCTGGGGTTGTGCTGTGGGCTTCAGGCTTTCTCTAGTTGCAGGAGGGAAATCGACCACCTTGTAACAAGAACACAAAGTCTGATTGAAATGTTGTGTGTGAAAGCTCACTGATGTAATCTTAAGGGCTACAAAATGGATGCAATAATGGAGTTATTAATTGTGGAATATATAAGATCAATACGCCTCAAAGGCTGACAGCATGACAGGTACTGTATATCCAAATATTCCACTGTCCAGCCATGTATTGTTGACCTAATAAACGGCTGATTCACTTAAACTAGGTCTAATTTGTGGAAAACATTTACAAAGGTCTTTAACAAATTCTAATGAAAATCTCCAACCAGTCCAACCAGCACCCACTACCAACTCTCTTCCTACAGGCTGTCCACCCCCATCATTGGTTGTTACTGTCCACATATATCGACAGTGAATGGGCAACATTTACCCTAGCAAACAAGTGTTTCCGGCAGCGAGAGTGTGGCACTGCTAAGAGGGTCAGGAGAAATCTGCACAGAGTGGAATCTGGAACCAGGCCTTTCAGGGTCTGACAAGAGAAAGAAAAATCATCTAATCCCATTCTGTTTCACACATTTACTGTAGTTATTACACTGCTGTTGCAAGTTAGAAATGTCTTGTCCGGTTTACCTTGGCCCAGACGTGTCCTGGTCTTTTCACCTGCTGTACCTTCATCAGTGTCTTCAGGTATTTGAAGTATTCATTTCCCAAATCATTTGTTTCTTTTGAAATGTTTTCATACACACCCAGCTGATGTGCCAACTCTGACAGCATTTGTCTGGAAATAGCATTATCCTGTTAGAAAAACAATAGGATCACTTGTGGAAATCCAATCAGATTGACATTAGGAAACAAAAAAGACACAGATATACCTTATTGATCACATGGAAATTACAGATATTACAAATTGTTAAAAATAATACTCTACATTGTAAATTGTCAAGTCTACTTGCTTATATGTCCATTTTCTCTATATGCCCTTTATTTTCCCTGGTCTACAATCAGAAATATGTTGAAATATATCAAAATTAATGTAAATGTTTTTAGTTATGGCAAAATTAAAAATCAGATTGAGTGCATGTATTTCTTTCAATTAAATCTTACTTGTATTTTTTCAGGATTTTGCAGGATAGTTTCAATATTCCTCCATGTTGCAAGTCCACGATGCTCAGTAAAACTTCCTGTTAAACTGTACAGTGCAGTCTTATAGAAAGCTATTGCAAGCTCCAGGAATTCAGATCTTTGTTCTTCTCTCAGATCCACAACAGCCGTGGCCCACAGGAAATTCCGAGCACTAGTGCCTACATTGATTTGATTCAATGGGAGCAGCTTCTGCTTGTTTTGGAGCAAATGCAGCGCTGGTTTGCGACTGAAGAACTCCGCAAAGGTAGGTTTAAAGATACTTCTTGCATATGTGTCAATTAATTTGTAAATAAGCCCAAACTCCACCTCAACTTTTGCTAAGCCAAACTGCTGCAGCTTCTGGATAGTGCCAATGGGCTCCAATGAATTGGCCAGGAAGAGGAAGTAGAGTTTAATTTTATAGTCCACCAGCTGAACTCTGATAGACTCAGTATCCTCCGCCTGAGTCAGTGACTTATAATACTCCACCAAATCCTTCCATCTTACCACCATCCTTTGCACAATTTGTATAAAATGCAAACACTGCGACGAGATAGAACGGGACGGGTCAAAGTCTTCTGTTCCGACAAAGATTTCTTTCAGATTGTCATTAACAGAGGTACAGCGTGTATAGTGATGGTGGATGTCTCTTATAAGGTCAAAAACACAATTAAAGGAAGCCAAAATCCCAGACTGGCAGGCTCTTCCTGCAATACCATGAAGGCCACAAAGCGACACCAACTTTGGATTATGATCCCTAAACAAGGACTCGACCTCCTTGCTTAATCCTGTGTGAGGAGCATCATAATAAAACACTGCAAGGTTAGATAGACAAAGACCTAAATTCTTCAGTGTGTTTAGCAGACGTTGGGCATCGTCCACAGAGACCGTGTCCATGTCTGAGTTTGATAGCAACTGTGGGTCAGCATTCAACTGCAAAGTGTTGAAAAGCCTCACTACATTGGTCCCATGTATCAGGTCATAAAAGCCAATCAGAATGACACTTGTGCTCTGGCCTCCGCCCAAGTCTACATCTGTGTACAGATAGAGGCAGTATGGTGTAGTTTTGCATTTCACTACAGTGTCTAACAAGCAGGCAATTGGGTCCACCTTACTTGGACAGTACTTATTGATAAAGCGCAGCAAAGATTTGCTGTCATGAGAATCATTCAGTTCAGGTTTCTTGTCAACTGTTGCTCCAGCTGTCTTTTTAATTTCCGAAGGATCTTTTTCCATTGTTATGTCCATTTTCTCAGTTACACTGTCCTCCGCAACAAAAACTACATCATCATCATCAGAAAGCAGCACAACTACATCAGAACACTCTGTCAAAATCTCATTCTGCTCTTTTTTAATCTGTTTTCCCACTGATTGGCCATCCATCCTTTCAATATTCACCAGTTTCTCAGGTGGGCCTGAGGAGGAAAACAAATCATCTTTTAAAAAAACAAAGCACAATGACAATTTACCTATTCCAGCAATCATATGTGACTTAGTGGACTAATTAAAAAAAAAAACAATTAAAAAACAGCCCATGTATTTAAGTACTGTACTTTTAATCAAAAAGCTTCCTGTGGTGACAGTGGTACAATTTTTGGGGAAATGTATAGAAATTATTAAACATATATTATGAAATATTACTAATAAAAACATTCTATTTTGACAATAGAAGTATATAAATTGATTCACGTCCATTTTTAAACTGCATATGTTCTGTGACCCCTGTCCTGAACAGTAAAAAAAAACAAAAAACAAAAAAACAAACCAGAATAGTCGTGCTTACTGCCTACATGCCTACTACACGATGTGGTAGTGGGGAAAAAAGCAAACGCAGAATATCTCCTTGGAAAGTGACAGACTCTGGGTTAAATCAACCGCTATCTTGGCTATATAACAGTAAACAACTTGGACAAACATCATCAACATCATTATAGCTAAGTTACAGGCTATACCTCGCGGCCCGTTTGTCGGTATTAGAATGTGTTACGTAAACGCGATGACAGCGGTCTTCCATGCGCTATTGAAATCGGACAGAAACAACCTCTAACTCGCCTCTAATAAAGTTTGTCCAAGTGGAGTAACCGTACAAGACAACACCCGGCGACTCAAATCGGGCATTGTCAGACCTCTAGTGTTCTAAATGCTGCATACAAGAGAAGTTAAAATGGTTAAAATGTTATCGCCCCACATGTAATTGTCAGGTCTCGTAATACAAATATGTTAAACTACAAAGATGTTAAACTTAAGCATAACACGTCCCAAACGTAAAAGTACGACTTTTTCTTCTTTCTTTTTCTTACTACCATTGTGCACTCGAATGCAACAGATGTTCTAAACCAATCGCATTAGGGCGGGTAAAATCCGACCAATAGAAAGTGTCCGAAACCGGAAACGCTCAGTGTACTGGTGTCAGCTGAACCAGGATCAGATTGTACGAGCTCCAGGCGGAACTCTCTGAGGCCGTTCATAAAAGAGTCGGATTGTGGAACAGCTGTAGACGAACATACAAGTGTACAACTGTTCGAATGGGATACCATGTTGGAGTATTTGAAGGCTAAAGCACGCCAACCATGATAAAGCTTCTTGGTGTGACCAATAACACAAATGCTAAAAACAGTTTATTATTTCACTATTATGTATTCACTTTAAAGCCATGTGGGCTGCATTTGCAACACGCGTTATATTCAACATTAATTACAAAAGTGTTAAAATCAAAACAGCGTTGGCGACAGTACACACGGGGCTAAGCTTTATATTTTAAACTCGTGATAATTCGAAGACACGCGAGTATAAAAGTTACGACCGGTTTGCGTAGGGTAGCAGGGTATACCCCAGTGACCACTTTCCATGCTTTCACAGCGTTATAAGCGCATTCTAGTTTCAAACTCTGAAAACCACAAAAGTTGCCGAGTTGTTCGCGTAAATAAACTGTGAAAGGTGGAGACAACCGTAAAACAACTCTATGTTAAATGGCTTAGACAAAGGCGTCCTAACGTGTTGAAAAAGTTAACACTTCGCTTACCCTGACCTTCCCACTCCATTCCGTGCGGGTATTTAAACAATTGATAACACAAGGCTAACACAGCACCCTGCACGCTATACCCGGCTCCTCCCCCCGGACCAGCTCCCGCTCCCAGTGGACAAAATAAAGACTACATCTAAAGTACGACAAATAGTGACAAACGAATAACACAATAGTTTCATGTACAGTACAAATAACTTCATTGGAAAAACGTGAATTTTTATATTTTATAGCGATATGATAGCAAGGGGCATAAGCTAACCGTGTCGTTATTTAGCCGCTAGCAGTCATGCTAAGTAACGCATTAGTTGAATAAAAGTGAAACGGGGAATTCAGTTTTTAATTTACGGAAAACATTTACGGAAACATTATTAATTTGCGTAAGGACAGACCACAACCATCGTCGACGAATTGGGGTATATAACTTAAATAGATTAGGAAAATATTAACTTTAAGATTGGTGTTGAAATTCGTTTAACAAAAGTGGGATTTATCGCAATTTATAATTGGTCCACATAGCTCGTAAGAACACTTCTGTTACTCCTCATTACCTCCTGAGCTTGTCTTTAGTCTTATAAAGTATACTGTCATCCTGCCAGGACGCCATTATTATTACCCAAAGTTTTATTAAATGAACCAACTCGCACATTTTATTAAAAACAAACAAACAAACACATCTTCTCAGATGCTGGGCTGAGTAAATCACTGTCTTTCTGGCTTTAATTCAACAATACTAAACGTGTCTACGATACGCCCATTTCCACCATTTTCATAATTTTATATAAATATATTTTCCATATCATAGTTAATAAGTCTGAAAAATTTAAGTAAATATAATATATAATATAAATCGACTAGCCATCAAGACACATGCCAGTAGTTTGTAGGAAGGCTTATTTTTATTGAGTCAAGCGTTTATATAGTTTGCTACAAAAATTATATATATAAACAGGAAGTATAAAACATTACAGAATGTTTTAGCAAGCATGAACAAGGTGTAAATATTAATAATAAAAGTAATAGAAAACTACAGTAACTATGTTAGATCTTTTTCCAACAGCCTTAAAATAAACAGGCATATAGCTGAAATCTAAATAACAAGATATAAAGTAAACAAGATTTACTCTGGGATAGTATATGTGCTATGTTTTCTTAATATACATAGGCTGGTACCAAAAAAAACTATGTTGTGTACTGTTGTTTTGCAACAGATTCTGCAGTGTCAACCAAACATGTAAACAATTCTTTTTTCTTTGGACCTTAAAACAACAGGGATAAAAAAAAAATCACAATGAATGGAGAATGGAACACTATGTTTCTGAATAATGTTATTTCAAAGACAAAAATGTGCATTCATGTGATTAGAAAAGTTTTGGTCAAAAGACAAATACAAAACAGTTGTAAACCTTTTTTGAAGCTACATCACACAAAACACTTTAAAATAATCGCTATATATATATATACACACACACACACACTTTTTATATACATGTACAGAGAAAAGTAATGTAAGTTACAGTATGTTTTCACAAAAAAGATGTCTTAGAAGAAGGATGGATGCACATTTTCCTCTATTGTCTGAGGTAAGGCCTGGTTAAATTTGCTAACAGCCAACAAGATTACAAGCTTCCAGTGTTCAGAACATTTTTAAAAACAATTAAGTAAGAATCTGTCATTAAAAAATAAAATAAAAAGAACATAAACATAGCATTTTTAACCAGCACCTTGAGATTTCTTTTATGACAGCCCACATTATCCATTTCAATTTATAACTGAAAACCAAAGTAGTCAAAGCTTGTTCACAATTAAAATATTAAACAGTGTCACAAGTGTAATGGACTTAAACTAATCAAAACAATAAAAAAACATCTACAGCAGGATTCATGTCATGGTTCTTGACTGCAAGCCATCTTTGTGACCAAACAAAATTCAACCAAAGTTTCTTTCGTGTTGTCTTTTGCATGGGCTATTTTTCAAGTCTAGACATGTGGCTTTAGGTAAAATTGCACTGCAACAGTAAATAAAAACACATAAAAACTCAAATATATGCAAATATAACGTAAAAAACTGCTGGTAGTCTTAGAAGGCAGCAGGGATGAGCACCATTTAAAAGAATGGAATTTTTTTTAAATTATGTTAATTACCTTTAAAGTCACAGTGCATTAAAAGATCAACTTTCATCGTTCTTACTGGTAACAGATGGTGTTTCTGGAAGACAGTAATACAGGCCGGTGTGATTGTTCAGTAGAGGCATGTGTTCCCTGGTAATCTGTGGTTTTCTATTCACACGCAAAGTAGTCTTTGAGTGGTGCGAAGAGATGCCTGATGACAGGGACGCTCCATGAACGACCAAGGAGCTTCTGTCTGGCTCCTCGACCCATGTTGGAAACATCTGTGTAGTGGACAGGAAACCCAAAGATCCTGCAGGATGAGGGGTACAACGTTGAGAGACTGACACTTTTGAAGAGCTAAAAGATATTTCTGCTAAATATGACCTTTTTTTTTTCAGCAAATTGAGCGTTATTCCTGTAATCATTCAGTATGTTCACTACCTCTCCAGTTCAGTGCACCACAGTATGTCTTCCTTGCCATTCATCAGCACAGGGAGATGCTGGTCTTTACCCTGTTTGATGGAATTGGATCGAGTGGTGATAGTTCGCACTTTTCCAAACTAAAAGACAAGTATTAGTTAAAAACTTCACCTAATTAAAACATTGTATTTATTTATTATGACCCACCTTTGCAACTCTGCCATGCTCCAGACAGTCTTGCAGCTCCAGCTTATCCATTCCGGAGGCACAGAGAGGCCTGGACATTAAGAAGATATTTACATCTGCTGTTTATATCCAATCACGTTTTTCCAAATATGAGAATGTTCAATATACTCTATATCTCCTATATACATATAAATATATATTAAATATTTGTAAATACAAAATTAAAAGGTGACAAAAGCTGATCATTGGATATATTTGAATAAATGAAATGTCTGACCTGTTCATGCCTGGCAGGTTTCCCCAGAAATATCGTGCACGATGAGCAGCAGAGACCTCAATAGCATCAATCATGACAGGATTACACTGCAGCAAAAAAAACCCCAAAACATTAGAATTCGTTATGCGTATGCAACCAACAAACAACAGCTCATAAATGAACTACATCTATCTTGTTTTGTATAAATAATTTCCTAAACAAAAATCTAAAAATAGAACTACAGTAATCAGTTTATATTTGGCTGAAACATAGGAAAGCTTCTTGAATTATTCCTGTATCACTAACCTCCAGATATCGTGAGATGTCCCTCTTGTCATTGACCCCCATGGCGACCACGTTTTCAAACATCCAGAAGAAAGGCCGGTCCTCCCCTTCCTTAGGCCTGGCCTCGCTCAGCAAACGGTAGAACTCGAAGAACAGCCTCCCTGTCCCTTCTATAACACCACCAAATGATCAGACTCGGTCAATGAGGAAATGAGGGTGTGAAAACAACAGGAAAAGTGATATTTTTCTACTGTTATAAAAAGAAACAATGGAACTGTCAAATCATGCATTGCAGCATTACTTGTGATTAATACACAACACCATGTGTTGTTTGTGTCCACAAGAGCAGTGTTTAAAGAAATAATTTGAAATAGTGAAAATGTAACTACAGCCTAATTTATCCAACATCAGGAAACACACCTGGAGTTCATAAAAAGAGAACTCAAACCTAGTCTTTTTAACACCATCACCTCTGTCAGATACCTACCATACAGGCCTTTCCTTGCGGGATTGACTATTGAGAGATCATTGCATGGACTTCCTCCAATCACAAGGTCAAATGGGCCCCACTCTTGAATCTAGAAGATACAATAGCACAATCTAATGTTAGCATTAGTACATTTAAAGTCATGAAAATTTAAAGTAAAATATTTACAAAGAGAGAACAACACTAAGGAGTAAATGAGACTTCCATTCATACATTGCTCTTTGTGATGTTCCTAACATCATGGACATATTGGATCTTTCCTTCATGTCTCACAACGCCAACTGAGATGGACTCCTCACACACCTCGGATGCCACGTACTGATCCACCTTAAATCCTAGGTCCCTAAGAACCAAGTAGCCTGGATACAAACAACAGCAACAATGAGGCTCCGTTGAACTTTTTTTTTTTTTTTTAATACACATCAATCACTTCTCAATACACATTGCTTTTGCATAATTATTCTCACCTGTAGCAATGCCGTCAAACAGGGAAAGCACCCTGATTGGTAGCCTCTGCTCTGCAGGGACTGCTGGGTAAATTTTTGGTTTCTCCTAGAAGATGAGAATGAATTTTTTTTATAGAAAAATAGAAATTACTTAATTATTTTGGTCTGTTCATTACTGATTTAACACTTTAATTGTAGGCAATTCAACCAATCAAAATGGGAATGAAAACTACAGCAAATCAAAAAAACATAGTAACTTACAAACTCCTGGCCATTGTCATTGGCAAAGAATTCCTGCAGCTTGAGGTTCCAGTCATGGCGACGTTTAAGGACGCCATATGGCAGCAGCGGCTGGCACATGTAGCATCTCCAGGGGTCCTGATAACGAGCATTGTTAGACGTTCCGGGGTTAACCAGGATGTCCAGGCAGTCCACGCAGAAACACCTGGACCAGGATGAGAGAAAATAAAAAACAGGTGAACAGTTGCTCTCTCACAAACACACATGCTGTAGGAGGAGCTGTGGTTGTTGTGTCATGTGTAGAGCATTTTTCTGACCTGCAGCAGTTGGCGTTACCACAGAGCAGAACCTCTCGACCACCACAGCAGATAGTACAGTAGGACTGATAGCCATCATCATCGTACATGTAAGACATCTCCAGGTAGACATCCTAAACACACAGATCAATTATTATCACAATAATTACTAATATAATTATTAATAAAAGACCTGTAATAAATATCTTTATTACCTTGCACGTTTGGCACAGGCCTCCTTCAAACAGTGGGTGAAAAGTTGCAGCTCTCCTTTTGCCACAGGACAGACAGAACTCTACAGGAAGACACACACACAGACCAGTCAGTAGCAATAAAAATAACTAAAAAAAGAAAATAATGATTTCAATACTGTAAGTCACAAGGTAAATAGCACTCTTACCTTCTATACTGCAATTATTCTTCAGAACTTCATTCACCATTTGTTCTGAAACAACAAAACATAAACAAAACACACAGTCAATACACATGGAAAAAAACCGAACGACTTTATTTGTAGCTGTGACATATGAAAACCACCATCAAACTGCAGCTGTGTAACCCTCCATCCCCCAAGCCCAGAATTCAATGCTGTGGCCGTTGAGCCATACCTCTGCTGTAGGACTCTTCAGGGGCAGCCTTGTTCTTACAGAGGCTCAATTTCTGTCTCTTTGCGCTAGAAAAGCACTCAGGCAGTGACACATCAAGGACATGGTGGTTTAGAGTATTACTGTCTGCAAAAACACACATAATTTGTTTGTTATGTTCAATATTTGGTCCTTTCTTAAATGAGGTGAAGCACAGAATGGTTTTCTGGTGCAGGTCAGAAGACCTGAATGGACTGTACTACGTTTCTCACCAGCATTGTATGTAGGTTTGATTCCTTCCTCTCCTTTGGGCAGGAAGCCCCCATTGGCCCAGTCCAACATGGGTTTGACTTGATCATCTGGGTTGTCTGACTCACAGGGAGGAAATGTCTTCTCTGCTCGAACACTGGCCATCTGTGGGGGACAGGGAAACGTCACGCAATAATTCAAGATTTCTAACGGCGATGGTTGATCGCACATTTCAGTTCATGTACATGGATGTCATTGTCTAAAGCTAATGTAAAAGCACAAAAAACACTAAAGCAAGGATTTTATAAATATATGAGCCAAAAATGTCACCATCTTTCAACAACATATACACCAAGACGCACAACCATGTCCTATTTTAGTGCGATTGTTAGAGGGCTCTTCTTTTACAAATAACATTCCTCTTTAAAAAGATGGAAACAGGAAACAAGAAAAAAAAGACTTTTGGTATCCTCTAAAGTTTATCAATTTAATACTATAAGTAACCATTTAATGTTAAACACTCTCAAAAAATGTGTTGCCAAAGAACTAAGTTTAAGAGCTTAATTGTGGTTTCAAATCCCCGTAGAGTTTTATAATCCACAAATTTGGAATGAAAGAATATCCTCCTACATATCTAATCCTTAAATCCTTAAAGCTGACACAAAGAAAAAGGGTGGAAATGGCGAGAGAGAAGGCTGTTTTTTATATAAAACACAAACACAGATGTGGAGGCAAACGTCAAGGAGCAGAAGAGGGTTTGGAGAAGACAAACGACAGGACAGTCTGTTGTTGCTATTTGGTCAAAGTCTAAACACCTGCATGACAGTGAGTCCTAAAACACGCACAAACAAGCAAAAACCTGATCCTGGGAGAACGACAGTGATAATAACGGAGAGAAATAAAAGGTAAAAAAAAAAGAAAGGGAAGGAAAGGAAGTACGTTGCATTAATGTGTTTTTCATTATTTTTATGTCAAGGAAAAAGGCTGATGAAAAAAATATAAATTAAAAACAAAGGAAATTAAAAGAAAAGATTAAAGTTTTTTATACACAAAATATTCTTTTTGTTATTTATGTTTTATAGAGGTATACCCATAATAGATGCATTCTCAGTAGTTTTTTTATCATATTAACTGCTGACAGATTTCAATGTTAAGATCGGGTTTAATAACTGGCTCAACAAGTAAAAATGCATCCATGCAAAAACCTTATTAATATTTCAATATCCAACCTACTGCAGAAATTGTAAAACATACCCTCAGTTTCAAAAAAGGATAGGAAAAAATTATAACAATAATTAAAAGTCTGCCCTGAGTATAATTGTTCTGGAATTGGTGCAGCTTACCTCCAGAGCCTGGAAGATTGCTCTACGGTAAGGGGCCAGCTTTGTGTAGGAAACCTGACTGAAGAACTTTGTGAATGCAGTGATAGAGTTCAGTTTGTCGGCTGAAACCTGTAGACAATAACATGGAAATAAATCAAGAATCATGATGTGAAACAACTCAAATACTCTCCCTTGTTCAGTCTGTTTGAAATGTATTCATTTTTCATTCTTACCTCAGAGAATTTGCCATCTCCAAACCACTGCAGCCACCTCATGCCAGGGCTCGCCTGCCTCTTTCCTGTGACACGCCATGTCACTACTATGCCAGGCCACCAGCAAAAACCCTTGATCTTCCCCCATACGAGCTCACCGATGCCAAAACCTTTGTTGTCCTAGACACGACAGATGAAAACAGAAAGATGGTAAGATGATCCACTAATAGTGGTTTAAAAAAAACAGCAGAAACATAAGGGTGAGGTAAAGCTTCAATATTAACAATATTAAAGGGTGAGGTAAAGCTTCAATATTAACCCTTCTTTTAACATGGGAAATCATAGTTATTGGTTTGAACAGAGACCAATAATTGCTTTGACATTTTGTGTAATCACTGCATTTTGACATAAATTTTTTGTATGTAGTGCTGAAAAAAAAACTTCAAAACTCCAATTACAGAAAGAATGGAAGATTTAGAGTAAGAGGAAAAAAAACAGAGAACGTCATTTTTGTCCACTGTAGTTAAAAAAAAAAAATTCTAGGTGTGTTCTTTGTTGCTAATGTGTAGTGAGCCCATTAAGTCAAGAGGACAAACATTAGATCTGAGCATAAAGGGGATAATAAAAAAATAACACTTCACTGAGTGCAGCCAGGTTGTACTCAACAGAAAGCAAAAAGTTAGGAGCTGCATACACATGATGGAGAGACATGATTGTGTGTGTGTTTACTAACAGACACACACGTCTTGTTTGCCAGGCATCATGACCTGAAAGAAACGATTGATACTGAGCTAACACAGGCCAACTCTCTCTCTCTCACACTATCTCTGCCTCTGTGTGTATTTTTGTGTGTGTGTGTGTGGCCACCTGCACTAACACAAGGCCAGGTGGAGGGGGGATTTGTGGTGTCGGCAGGGAGTTACCCTCCTTCTCTCTATTGCTGCCAAATCCTTTACTTCCCCTTTTAAAAGTATCCTTTCTGTAGCCTGTATTCATGACCGCCTTTTGACTGTTTAACTTCTTTAAACCTTTTTTGCTCTTGTTAAAGTTCAAAAATCTGTCTGTCCATCCTTTTTTTTACTGATGATGTCATGTGTATTGCTTTGCTTTATTCCAGAGAGGTTTTGTTAACCAGACATTTTTTAAGACGTGTAAAAAGGGTCTCAGAGTTTAAATAGTGACTTTGAGAGATCGCAGCCTCACAATTTTCTTAAAGACTGTGGTGTGTGTGAAGTACCGAGAATAGATGTGCATCTTTTCAGAGACAATTTACCATCTCTGCAAAGACTGTGTTACTGTTCGTAAGATAACTGTCCACACAAAAAAACTGCAGTCTCTTCTCAGTTGAAACCACACTCTCAAAAAACCACAAGTCTCTCTTAGACTGCACCAGGGTTTAAAATTACTTTTGAATTTTGATGAAGCCACAGACACAAATCTTACATTGTACTCCGGCTGAGTTTCTGAGCTCAGTGTGGTGATGCTGCTCTGGGCTGAGTCTTTGGAATCTTGCTCCATCAGTTCCAAACTGGGCACATCTGGAACACTACGAGACGTGACTGCCAATAGATGAGGACCACCAGCAGTCTGAAAAGAGAAGCAAGACAGATAAAAACAAATATTAGATGAGAAATGAAATGAATAAGTCCCTACCAATACCAGTAATCCCACATGTCAGTCTCAAAGTGTCTAGTGTTTCTGCTCCCATAAGAGCAACAATAACAGAAACTCACCTGAAACTGGCCCTGTTCCTTTTTGCGATTCTGTCTGCGTGGCTTGTTGTGCGTTTGTGCCGTCAGACCGGCTTGAAAAATGGTCCTGGGTCGAGGTCTCTCTCTCAATCCCAACTGAGATTTGCCTGGTGTTTTTTCCTACACGTCACACACAACAAACATGTAGTGTATACTGTGTTTGGGAACCCTCATTCATTTATGTACATTAAAGGTGAGTCTGTGGTCAAACCTCGCTGTAGGTGTCCCAGGTACTGTCCTCCTCCTCAAATTTCTTCCTGTTTCTTTTTCTGTTTCCCCTTGAACACAGTTTATCATCTGGAGAGAGAGAGAGAGCGAAAGAGAGAGTTGGTTTGACACCCAGAAGGTTTCACAGATATCATGGGACTTTCCCTTCCTCCTGCACATTAAACAAGTCATGTTGGTAAACTGTAAGACACCAACATATGTATTACCTTGAGGAGAGGCTGCATCTCCATCTGGTTTGAGGCTGAAGGGGGAGGGTGGTTCAGCTGCAGTGAGCGGGCTGTTCTCATTGGTCAGCTCCACGCCGCTGTCGTTCCCTGACAGAGCTTCAGCTGGAAGTGTATCGCCATTGACCACGGCCTAAAGATGAAAAAAACATTAGCTATCTGTCAGGTGATTATTTTCATTATCATTTTATATTTGAAGAATATTAATTGATAATGGTTGTACTTTGAAACTGATAAATTGCCTCTTCTTAATGTCAATGTGAACACTATGCTTGAAATCTAATTCACACTATTACTCACAAGACTTTTACACAAGAACTTTAGTTTCCTAAGTATTGATACATTTCAAACATTATGCCAAACTATTCCTCCCCCCTGGGCCTTGGTTTTGTGCAAATTAAAGTTTCGCTCTCTCCTGAGATCAAGTCACAACGTTGAGACAACTTTTGCATGTCAGAGATTGTCTGCCACACCCACAAGTACGGCAGCACATAAATGAAAGTGTCTGACTTTGCATAAGAGTTGTATAAAGAAAAAAAAACTATGTGGAGGAGGACTAATGTGTAATTCCTCACTAGATATTACTGACAGTGAATCATATCTGGTCTGTTTGGCAGTGTGATTGATGAGGCAAAAATACTGATAATTTTGTCATCTAATATAAATGGAAAAAAAAGTTGATAATACAGGGAATCTTTTTAGCTGGGTTATTTATAAATTAAATTGCTTTTATGTAATTTTAGGGAGCAGGGAATTGGCCAAAAAATAATTTAGAAAGAACTGGAATTGTTAAGTATGATTATTCTATGTGCATCAGAATACAATAATAAAATTTGGATATATCACATTTTTTTGTAGTCACATTACACCGACAGAAAGTGAAAATGTAAAAATGTTGTCAGTAAAACTACATTTTTTTGTGGGAAAAAAAGAGCCGGGGGAGTAGGAAAAAGATCTGCTGTGTAGCAGACAGAAAGTAAAGTGTTGCACAGGAATCACAGCTCACAGGTAAATCTGCAGCTGTCACCGTTCCCTACAATATAAAAGGGAAAAGGGTGTGTGATTTCACCAGTAACTCAGGAACTCCGTGAACCTGTATGTGTTCATGATAGTAATACATGCAAAGTTTGGTGTTGAGCCAAGAGAGACTGGAGCTAATTTTCTTACATGAAGCTGTTCTGGCAAACTGCACAGTCGGACAACTTCGACGAAGTCTGAGTCTCCTAAGAGTTACATTCTATTCTTTAATTTTGTTTTATGTCAAACACGATATCATCCAACACCAAAATGCCAAACAAACAAACAAAAACCGGTTGTCTGAAAAAACAACAACAATTCATGACTTCTACCAGTGATTTTGACAAAGATACAGCTGACATTGACTTTGTCTTAAATACAAAAGACAGACTTGTATTGCAAGTCTGACCAGAAATGTGGGCACCATGTATAGTTCTAGGTGTGACTGAATGTTCTTCAAAGTCAACAATCAACCAGGACTAGGTTATAATCTGGTCTACATCTACATGTGTGACAAACAAAACTGTGAATTTAGAAAACACACAGACTCTCAACTATCTGCCCCAACTCTCCACCTCTGTTGATACTTTCTTGGACCTATAACTCATTCTCCTCTCTGAGATTCACTGACAGCCCAACAAAAACACCAGCATTTACACAGCCCGGGGGCATTTTCATCACTATCACTATCCACCTCCCATAACCCGAACCCTTGTTCTCTCTCTACAACAAGAATTACATACATTTCTTGATAATTGTGCAGGGTTGAATTTATATGTTGCCTGAGCAAATGAAAATTGACATACAGATTACATCAGTTATAATTTATATTTTATAAGCTTTTTTTTTTTTACTAACATCGTGTTGACTGTCTTCTTTGACCCCAGTCTGTACTTTTTCTACAGTTTCTAGTAAGTAAAGAAATCTGAAAGAAAGATTCATAATAAAACCTTGATTCCCTTAATTCTTTTTAACCTTCCAGAGGTTAAAGCAGAGTTAAAAAGATTGCAAATTCCTTTTACACTCAAGAACAGAAACAAAATCTCACTGTGCACCTTGTCCTTTCCTCTTGCTCCCTCATTCAAACTTTCTTGAATCCCCTTCCTCCATTATTTTCTTTTCAGCACAATTTGTTTGAAACTTTTCAACTCACTCTGTATGGACCAAACCAAACCAAGTCTGCTTTTGTGAAACAAGAAATGGAAAAAGAACTTGCACAAATCCAAGCACACACAGTTGACTGAAGTAGGTTTTGCAAATAGTTTGGTTCATTCACTAGCTCTTGGAAAGATATCAACATACACAACTGACAGATTCTTGCTCCAAATAGACCAAAGTAAAATTAGTGTTAAACTGCATTTTCAAAGTTCATTTCATTCGGGATACAGTTCTGTATAAAAATAGTGTTCTAGCAAAAAGCTTAAAATGTCTTATTACATGTGTCAGTGATGCACTGCAGTACAAGTTGCATTAAAATCACATCACTTCTGTACATAGTACATTGATGGGCGTCCAACCAAATGCCTGAAACCATGAGAAAATACACTCACTTCCACTACACATGATACAAAAATTGAGTGATTCAAAACATCAAAGATCTGCTGCCATTCAATTAATGTATTGCTTTCATTTTAGAAATCCGTACTCCCTGTATCTAATACTGTCATAAAAGCAGCTGAAAGACTCTAGGGCAGACAGTTTAATTTATAAACACTCTAGATGTGTTCAAATCTGAAACACAAGAAAATGCTGTTCAAGTATCCAGTTGATGGGTATGACTCAGTGTGTGGCAAAGTATAAATTTAAAACCTTGTGCTGTGGTGAAAACACCAGCCTACGTCAGGACAGCATTCCACAGTGAGCCAGAAGATGACCCCAGGCACTTTCACTGTGCTATCAAAACATCTCAGTCAGGCCTAAATGATTAGAAACACTGGTCTTCAACAAAGATTTTTGATGAAAAAAAAAAGTTCACAAAATGACAAGCGTTTGCTGCATTGATTTGGCTGCGATCACCCTGTGCTTCCTGTGTTCTCTCAAACACATGCACACATTTGTCTGAAAACACATTTTATTTAAGTAAGTAAATTAAAACTAAAAGATGAGCTTAAATGTATAAGGTGGAGGACTATGCAAATATTATGCATAAATGTACCAAACTGAGGCAGCTGTGTTGCACATATATAGGTACTGCATTCATATTCTGAAATTTGTCAAATGTTCAAAATGAATTATTTTTGGCAAGAAGGCAACTTAAATCCTAGCACTTGTATTTGACTCACATGTCACCTCTTATATGAGCAAAAATGTAAAGATTAACAACACATTGAACATCATGGGTCAAATGTTTCCTCACTGTGTGACCAAGACATCTCATCACTAAAAAAACAGTCCTTAAAGAGGACTTGTTCCAGGAGAAATGAATAAGTAACTGGCTGCCAAAGAGCTGTCTAAACTTAACATTAAATGCCTCAAGAATAATATGGTGACTGTCAAATGACAAAGAGAGTTTAGGCAGAAGGATGGATGGGGTGTACAGGAAAAAGAGGAACAAAAGAGAAATAAGTAATGGTGAGAGGTACTTTCTGTAGACGGAAGGAGAGAAAAGCAGATTGTGGGTAAAGGAAGGATTTGTCAATCTCAGACAGAATGATATATGAGAGCGAGAAAGAGGAAGGAGCACTAACGGACAATAAGAGCCTTGTGTATGCATGTGTGTGTATGTAGAGTGATATGTGTTGAGATATTTTGCAAACAAACTACATAACACTTAAAAAAAGGTTTCTGTTCTTTTCATGGTGCCTAGTGAACATACATAATAGCTAACTTAGATTAAAAAAAAAAGGCACCACTTGAAATGGTTGGTTTTTCTCTCCCCCGTTTCCAGTGCACATTTGAAACTACGTTCACAGATTACATCATAATACATGCTTGAACTCTGGGCATATGCCTTTGCAAGGATAGAAAGATTCTGTTTTTGCATGCTTATGTTTGTTTGAAAACTGCTACGGAGATGCGTTTGAAGTTGGATCATAAAAGTAAGTAAGTAAGGAATGTAGCCAGGTAAAAATGCTGGCTAAAAAATTTAAACAACTAGTTCAGAGTTAGAATGAGTTAAAATGAAACAAATTAACAATTTTTGCTGCCAATAATAATAACAATAATAATAATATAATAATGTCCCACAAGAAGGACATCTACAGTGTGAGTCTTTGCAACCGACACGCTGCTAGTGATGTTAAAAAAAGCTGAGAAATATATACAGGAGCAATAGTAGTTAAACTAAATATATAAAAAAGGAGGAAGAGGGAACAACAATGCCTTATTTATGTATTTGTCATTAAATAGGCAAAAGTAAAACAAGCCAAAAGAGCCAGAGGTGGCTTTAAATTATGTATATGTAGTGTAATTGAAAAACAGAGAAACTCACAGTGGCCGTCATGTTTGTACTTTCTTCCAGTATAGCAGCAGAGTATGTATTTAAAGGCATCACTGTCGCTGATGGCTGGTCCAGTGTTTGTCCTGACTCCTTCTGAAACCTGGAAAACACAGACAATAAGTGAGAAAATGAGGAAAGGGCAGGACAGGAGAGGGAATCGGGGAGGTTCAGACATGCCCATAACACTGCAAGTGGGACATAACAAAATCCATGGCTGTTGTTTGTAAGTGTAATGAGGCGTGCTGTATTTCTGCATTCTTCTTTTGCACTCTTCTTTACACCTCAAGCCACAAAGCTACATTACCACTAGATGAAGTGTGTAGGTTACAGGATAGGATTTCAGTAAATTGACAGGTCGTTGGTTTTGATAAACAAGCCTGTGCAGTCCTCAGCTAGCAACTTGTCAGTTTTGTCTTTACTCGTACATATCTGCATAACAGAAGGAAATGTTACAATGAAGAGAAAATATATTTGTATTTAAAAAAACACATAGTACCAGTACAATGGAGCATCATTTCTTTGTTATACAGATTTAACTGTTTATCACATACATATATAACCGTTTCTGTAATTTATACTGTGGATTGCATAGCTTATTGTAAACAGTGTAGATCGATGTTGGCTAATATATATTATATATTGAATTTTGTAAACTAAACTCAGCCAGGCAAAGCAACATATTTTCAAGATGATCATATTGGACTGATTTTCTCCAATTAATCTAATACTTTCGTTACTATATTATTATTTCCATGGTAGTAACAAAAAGTATAGATAGAGTATATGGAGATAATAAAATGATACAAGCAAAAACCTTAAGTCTGTAGAGAGGTGACACATAATAATTTTAGAAAAAAAATAAAAATTGTTAATGAGTCATGAGGATTATTTACACATGAGAATGTCCTTAAACTGTGAAAGTGTAGAAATGCACAGTGACCACATACTAAAAACAAAAACGAGACCACCAGGTGCTTCTGCACACACACAGCTTTATGTACACAGCAGTTAACATGCAGTGACTTAACCTTACCTAAACACAGATGCCTCACCTTAGATATCACACTAATACTATCGTATCTGTCTGTCAATACTTTTGATGAAACTGCCATTATCCTTATTCTCATCATTCCGTTAACACCTTTCTGATATGAGTGGGGCACCCGTGCTGTCATCTCACAAAAGGCAAAATGATTTATACACGCAAAAACACTACTTTCACGTGTAAAAAGGGGGAAACAAATTTCAGAATATTTTTCCAAATTTATGTTGCCCTTGGGGCAGTTACTTCGACAAACATTGTATAGACAAGATACATCCTGTTAGCTGCAAAGTAAGGCACAAACACTGAAAATGAAAATGTACAAAAACAACTGCAGAGGCAGTGACTGCCTGTGGCTATCAACACCTAATATTATCCTATTAATTTTACTTAATTTTACTACTGCTACTATGGTCTACTACAATGCTGTACCATATTCTTTACAACAAGACATCATCCTGGGGTCTCCATTTTGCTGCAGGTCTCCTTTGTCTTCTTTAGACCATAGACCTTATTCAGGACAAATTACCAACATTTAAGCATAAGAATCAGAATACATCTAAAACACAAAATCACATAAAACATTTTTGTTTAAAAAATATGATAAAGACTTTAGAAGCAGCAGCTCATTTAAAAAAAAAATCCAATCACTGCACCACTGCACACTCCCAGGAAAAGTTCTCAGTTTCTCTATTCACCTTTTCAAATATTTTACTCTTTCCGTTTCTACTAAGTATTATTGCACATGAACACAAAGGAAAAGCCCTGTTGTTTTGCACAAGCCCAACAGCAAAGAGCCCTGTGACCACTGACTGACAATGTTAGATAATAATGAACCCAGAGGTGAAGAACATAAGCGGTTGACCTGTCCATCCTTACCCCAAATGCTTTGGACTCCTTTGTTTACAAAACAAAATGGACTGTTACCACAACAGACACAATCTACTAAGGCCCCTTGTCGGAAACAGTTTAATTGTGCACTCATGAATGTCTTCACTTGCCACATGCCTTTAAGAGTGCGTAACCTGTTACCCTTTTATGTTGAGGTGTTTTAATTACTCAGATTGTTATGATTTACATTGTGTAGTTTATTAACCTCTTTGCTTATGATCCTGAGAGTGGGGTTAATGTTCTTCTGTCTAATTCTTGTGTAAAAATTCACAATAAGCTGTGTAAGTTGTTGCATCGATACTTCAGTTCAAGGCCTGTCCACATGGCGTAAAACATTTGTAACCTGTGTTTCTGCAAAAACATGTTTGAAAGACAGAAAGGGAAATGAGATTGAACTAGGGGAACCAAAGGAGGATGGAGAGGGAATGAGGGGCCCACGGAAAAGGGACACAGAGGACAAGGGGGGCTTTACATCAAAGTTGTGTCTGGTGGTGAGAGATTAGAACCTCAGTGAACAGTGATTGTTCACTCCCCAATGGGAATGTGTGTATGGCTTAGTGCATGTGTGGGGTTGTGGAGGGAGTATGTTGGGGTGCATTCCTTGTCTGTTATGTACCTTAAGGCCCCTACCAGCTCACACAGAGTGCTCAAGATTTTACATTGTCTACTCTGTTGCCTATTGTACAGAATAAACACCCAAGACCTGGGAAGACCTGGGATTAGAACCATACACCACACATTCAGCAACTGCTCACTATTATCAAAATCATTGATGCTTGATCCTTATACATATCATATTGTCCATTTTGTCATATGTGTAACATCATAGTATAAGATTTAAAGTAACACAGGATGATATGGTAGTTGTCAATACTAGTATGCTGTTATTATACCCCAATAAAATAATGGTAAAAAAAATAGCAAATTGTGTTGCAAATTTAATAGCATTTACATGACATTGTAAAACATGGTTTAGTTTCAGTGTGTTATGCACATTCATGGAGATAGTTAATCACATTTGACTGCTCTATTCAGGGGCTGGTACAGATTATCCTTAACATGTGAAGTTTGCCACAGATTTTTGGGGACCATGCCTTTCCTGATACAATACTCTCCTCTTTAGAATTAAGACATAAGTTATGCCCACCCTCCAATTCCTTTCTAACCCCTTCCCCCTGTAATGACCATGAATAGTAGTTACGAGTAAAGCATCTTGTACTCAAATGCCTACAGGCAATATTCAGAATTGCCCATGACAGCTTCTGGTTATAAGACTATGCTCACTACTTATTGATCTACAACTTACCCATCAGTAATGTGGACATAGTTATTACTTATTAATAATTACTAAAAAGTATTAATATAAATTAATAGATATATTAAATCTGTTTTAATTCCAAAGAGAATTGTTTATTTTCTAAAGCTACTTTATTGCTTTCTTAAATTTTCGAATCAATTACCGGACGAAAGAACTTGACACCAGTATAAACCGGTTTAATCAAGCGATGGACAGTCTGATCTTGAACTTTCTTTAAACTCCCCATGTAACACCGCCGTTTAAATAGATCTCTCTCTATCTCTCTTTTTTGTTTATTGACTATAATGTAATAAATTACCCAGCAACAGATGCTTTTGTAAACCCACCCCCGTGTATCGTGCATTTTATCTTTCCTTCGGGCACACGTTTGTCCCAAAACAGCAGCTCCTAATCACAGCCTACAGTGACTCTGTCCTAGAGGGAAGTTTAGACCGTAAACCTCCGCCGTGTTGAAAAACCAGGAAACCGCCACAGGCAGCATAGAAACAATAATTTAGTTGAAGCAACTTTTGTCAGTACAACACAACTGGAAGTTTGCGGCGGTGCAATCACTTTTTAACCTTTATCCTCGTGGGATCTCACCGAAGTACAAGAAAAACGTAAACGAAGACGGATTATACTCAACAGTTAGCACCAGAGGCATCTCCTTCGACGACAACTTGTTAAAAGTGCACATTAAAGTCAACATAGAGTTGAGAGAAGCAACCCTGAGTTCTTTCACCTGCGCGTTACAATACTATAAATTCCTATCAAATGAATTTCACCTTTACAGAAAACGTCAAAACGTCCAAAAACTTGGATTCAGTTTGACTATTGGACTTTACCATTGGAATCGTGCTGCAGCAACATCTGTCCACACAGTTTGACTGCGCACATGTGCACGACACGAGCACCATTCTGCACTAAACAAGTGAAAACCACAAAACATCTACAGCAACGTATAAGCCAAAAAAGAATGACAGAGAGAACACACCGGCGTAGTGAAACTTACATTTCAATCGAGGTCTTTGTTTATCCGAGGCAGGAGAAAGCGTCGTCTTCTTACACTCAGACTTTAGCACGAAGAAATGTGTCGTCCTCTTTTCTCTTCTGACAGGAGTAGTGTTCTGTACCAACAACGCGCTTCTACAGCTCAAATCCTTCTCTGTCTTTCTGTGGCTCAGCCCACCTTTATTCGACCCGCAGACACAGGTCAAAGGAGATTGGTTGCTCCGGGCCATACAGGCTTTCCCAGGTAAGATTGTCAACACCCACTTTCTGCTGAAGGGCGTTCTTCAAACGTTTCCTCCTGTACAAAAATAGAAGGTGCACTTTCTAACAAGAAAGATGTCTGAGAACATGCATCTGAATATCCAATGGGACCTTATACGAGAGAGAGAGAGCTAACTTTTGTAGATATTGTGACTTGTGTAGTTTTGCAAAGTTCACTGATTCATAAGTGTTATATCCCTGCTATCACCAGGAAGGGTCAATGGAAGAGTTCATGCTTTTTACAGCTGACTTTGGACAAAGGTCATGGCAGGAAAACACAGAGGAACAAATAACAATTCACTCATGCAGTCGATTAACAGTATAAAGTATCAAGTTTATAATTAAACTGTTGTTCTGCCTCTGTGTTCCCCACATTAGACAAACTACACTGTGTTTACACGATAATTAAATAGCCCCATCTTAAAGAATAAGAAAACCACAACTTCATAACGATTTAAATTTGTCACTTTACAAATGCTAACATTTTTGTTTTTCACTTAGTGCTTTTAATCAAAACTATTTTGGTTATAAGAGAAAATATACTGCAAAACACATACAACTTTCTCAAGAAATAAACCTACACGCCATGACATGTTTTTATGGCAGGCACAGGAAAATATATATTTAAATAATATTTACGACGGATTTACTGCTTTTGCTCCTCCTATTCATATGAATTAATTAACGGCAGCAATACCTCATTTACTTTACTGTAGTAGACTTTTCAAATTAATAACCAATAATCACATACGATTACATAACCACAATACAAAGTCAAATATTTAATTGTCTGTCCTCAAAGATATATTAGATATATTTTAACTTCTGAGAAATTTCTGGAAATACTTCACCTTTTCCACGGGATGGAAAGTAACCACAATGTACGCATGCGCAGATGATAACCCGGAAGACGGGTCCGTCACAACAGAAGAGAGCGGAGCAGCTTTCTCCACGGGGAAGCTCCACGCCTCAAAATACCGTAAATATGCAGCTTCACTTCACCAAAGAGGTTCTCCCGGACTCAGTTAGTGCAGACTTCCAGAATCTGAACAAATTCAACGAGCAGGTAGGTTTTGCAGCGTTTTTTACTCCACGATCCATGTCTAATTAAATAACGGTAAAGTGACGTTACCGGGAACCTGATGTGTAAAAGATTAATTGAATTTACACACGTATCAATATGTGTAATCCCTTCATCGCTTTATTTGTCAGAACTGTCAGTGAAATATGAAGTGTCAAAGACTCATGGTACTCACGTGACCACAACACGACAACTACACATTGTTATAGTGTTTCGAATTAGAGAATAATAGACTATCAACAATATGGAAGTGAATTGTAAAGATATCAAAGGTTACTGAGTTATGGTATACACACATTTTCGAGTTATCTTGTTTTTTTAATGTGCTAATAATTACATTTACAAATGAATGGCAGATCTGGGAACTCCGGCAGCAAAGTAGAATTGTATGTTTTGGGTTGGCCTTGAAACCCATTAAATAACAATATATGTTTAATTTCCACAGCAATTTCACCGTCTGATTGAAATTCTGTTCCAGTTTCTGCTAGAACCTAAGGAGGTGAACACAAATGCATACACACACAACCTTTTGCTACTAAAACCTTGGGCATTGTGACTGGCCCAAAGACATGAGAAATTGACAATTAATGCAACCATTTGTCCCTTTTGTTGTCTGGTGTGTGCAGGCAGAGAGGTTTATGCAACAACTTACTGAGTTTGCAGGGGAACATGGGATGAGTGCTGGCCCATTGAAAAACCTGATGAAAAGTGTCCTGCTGGTGCCACAGGGTGAGAGCAACTCTCACTCACAACATGCATTTGTAGACCAGGACAAACAGTGGCAGAGAGAGTTCACATAGAGGGAAAATGTAGTTAAACTTTAATGCAAAGTGTGTGCGAAGAAAATAAATAACATTTTACCTTGCAAAATTAAAACTTAACTTTCAGTGAGTGATTAAGTAACTTAAGGTTTATCCTTCAATTAGTTTTAAATCCTCCTGAGGGTGGACATTTCTTGGTTTCTTATTGTTCTCTCTGATAAACTGTTGCCATTAAATTTATATTCCACATGCCAGGTTTTCGATTTCAGAATGACAAAATGTTACATTTTGCCAAAACACACACCACCATACTGTCATGAACAAACTTGCCACAAACATAGCTAAACTCCCAAGTCACTCAGATCTTGACAGATATAAAATTGTGCTGTAATCTGACACGGAAGCAGCAGCTTGAAGAAACTTTCTGTCATGGTGATATTGATTCCTCTGTTTCCTCCACAGGTGCCCTAAAGAAAATTCTGTCAGCTGAGCAGGTCAAAGAAGACCTCACCACATTAGGTACATGCCTGAAACAATCAACACCCTGTCACTCACCAACAGACTTGATGTGAAAATATTCTTGAACAAGGCTTTGTACTTTATTATTTTAATTACTTCATTACTTCAACTGTATCTGCTGTTTTTCTAGGACTGAATGAAGACAAGGCAACTTATTTTTCACAACAGGTACGCTGTGAACAAATTCCTTGGTTATTCCTTGAAACCTAAAATCATTGGAATGTTAGTTTTTCTTTTCTTTGTGTGTTATATTTTATAGTGGGGAGAGCACTTTGCAGCCCTATCCAGACTTGCTGTTGCACAGACTCTGATGGTTAACCAGCTGGTTGACATGGAGTGGAAATTTGGAGGTGAGACCAACCTCTCAGTAAACTTAAACTTAAACACTGCCATTGGAATATCGTGTGTTGTATAATTTTTTGCTTATTATCCAGCCTACAGTTCTTACAACCCCTAAACTCTCCACATATTTAGCATTCATTTGTACATGCTACTGGTGTTTGAGCACTCAGCAGATGATGAAGATGCTAATTCACCTGGCAGCGGAATCATTAGCATCACGTTGAACTATTGTTGATGTGATCTTGGTACTTGAACACATTGCCCTGCAGTTTATGAAGGGAGTGGAGTGTTAAGATCACCTGAATGGGCTGTTGATTGAAATGCAAAACTTCCATTTGAACTCAGCCACTGTGTCTCAGCATGTTGCTGCCGTGAGTCAATCCCCTGTATCCATTCAAGGCGTCTGTGGAAACATGACTAGACGCGAAGCCAAATTGAATGTAATATAATGTTGTGTTTCAGGATTCAGATTCAATGCAGTTAGAAACATCACAGCTAGCATTCCATTAAAATTCCTTTACAAAAATGTGCAGCTCACTGAAATGGTACCAATACTTCTTTCCTTCACGTTTTACCCTAACTACTGTGTCACAACAAATATTTCACGTTCAACTACACACCTGCAGTACACAATAGCACATTCACAGTTTTCTTTCTTTCTTTTTGGAATTTCTGGTACTTTTACGCAACATACAACATGATTCTTTACCATAAAAAGATTGCGATTATTTAATTTGTACTTAAACCTTAATTCACATACGCATGCTTGATTATGTGTTTTGCTTGACACTTTATCAAGACCTAAAGCATCCCATAGCCTCCTACCTTAACCATTATAAACATTCTAATCCTTACCCTAACTATACTCTGACCATAATTCTAATCCTAACTCCTAAAAAAGTCCAAACAAGTTTAGCTGCATCAGGAAAGCCTAAATAGTATAACCTAAGTAAATAGTTCTAATGCCTCTGTTTGTGATTTCATCAGATTGTAATAACTTTTATACTCTAACTCTTAATTCTATGTTTTTTATAGTGACTGTCGGCACCAGTGAGATTCAGAGAGTGGGCAACGTCTTTTTGCAGGTATTCAGAATGCACCAGAAACTAACGCCACAGCTGCTACATGAGAGGTTGATTTAACCCTACCATTGCAAAAGTTAGGAAATAAAGCTGTGGTGGGTGTGAGGTGCCATGGGCCGATTCTATGAACTCCTTCTAGGAGACATCCATAAACATTTTCTAAATGATGAGTTTCAGCCAGCTGAGAGGAAGTAATAATTTGATACTTTGGGTATGTTTCATACTGTATGTCAGGCCTTTAAAACCAAGCTTTGCTTTAATGTACATGCAGATGAAGTTGATGCTGTACATACAGTAAGGTCTGTTTTTTGTCTTGCAGTTAAAGTTGGTTGTCAGGCAAGGAAATTGCACTGAGAATGTCTACATGGGTGAGTCACTGCAGCTGACATATTTATAATTATAACATTTTTACTAATTCCTGTAATATAATTTAAGTTGGCTATTTAGAAAGACTAATTTAAAGTTGAATACCCAAGACATAATTAAACCACATAAACCTTCACAATTCTCCAGTTCTAATTGTGAGGGTATAAGTTTAGTTTAATTCACCACAAAATTCACCTGCAGGAAATAAATTAAAAACAGTTCATGCATTGATTAGTTGTTGAAAAAATGATTTATGCTGAAAACATTCTTTCGTGTCGTCACCTCCTGTTTGTGGTAACTGTTATAATTTTTCTCATGTCTCTTCCAGAGTTGACGCTCCCTCAGTTTTACAACTTCCTACATGAAATGGAGAGAGCCAAGGCCAGCATGGAGTCATTTAGCTGATCGTGTGTGTGCACATGATATTGTTGATGTGTGTGTGTGTGTGTATGTTTATATTAGGGTTTTGTAGTGTGTGGCTATAATGCATCACATTGTGTCCTTGTATGTATATATGTGTGTGTGAGAGAGACAGAGAGAAATATACCATAATAATAATAATAACCAAAACATTCCATTCATTGAATTTCTTCCAAAAATAAAATTCACTAAACTAATGCCAGGACAAAGATGTAGCATAAATAATCTGAAGCCATTTTTATTTGGTTTATTAAAGAAGCATTGTCTATAACTGATCTCTGTTTATTGTTGTCAGGTGTGAATGATGGAACCTTTGCTTTAGGGTAAAGTCTCTGTGTCAAATCAGATTGAGAAAAATATCCTTCTTCCAGTATATTTCTACTATACCCTTCACTGTCAGATACACATGATGCAAATGCATGCTGTACTTGTCTAAATTAATGCACACAGAAAAAGAGCTGAAAAGGGATGGGCAGCAGGTTAAAATGATGAAAGGTACAAATCAACAGATGAGTGAAGCGTGTGTTAAAAGGTGACAGATTTACAAAAAGGAGTTGATGGATGAGGAACAAATGGGAGGAGAGTAAATGAAATAAAGAAAGCAGAATTTTCACTGGATTATTTTGCACAATCTGCTGACTGAGGGAATGCCTCAGGAATGGATTAGCAGTGTACTGATACTGTAAGCTGTGGTAAGTGATGGTATACAGTTGATCGACTGAATGTTAAAGCTGGTTTAAGGCCATAGATTTTGGCTCTTTGCCATGTAGGAGCACTAATTATTGAACATTAGAGTTGACTAACATTACATTGAACATTATAGTTTCACATCCAGTTGCCTAACAGAACTCTTCAACCTTGACCATGACTTGGATGACTGAGAATCTTCATAGACATTGAACATTATAGTTCAGCCTTTGTGAACTGATTGAAAAGTATAAGATCAGCCAAACGGAGAACCAAAACTTTATGGGATGTCCAATGTCTCAAGACATTTTTAAGGGTCTGCAAGACAAGCAAGTGCAGTCAGCATGACGGATGGATTCAGGGTAGAAGCAGGGTCACATCAGCTCTGGGACCCTTCTTGTTTGGAGTAGTGATGGACAGGTTAATAGGAGAGGTCAGGCCGTAGAGTTCGCAGCCTGAGGTGTCCTATAAAGGGTACTATAATTAAAGGTGAAAGGAGGGAGTGGTTAAAAAAGCCCTGTGAGACAAAGGTATGAAACGAGGTGATTAGAAAATTAGGGTAATTAAAGAAAGACAATACACATGTAAAGATGAACCACAGCCAAACAATTAAAAATGTGAATATGTAACAAGCGGAACAAATGATTGGTGAGGCATTTTGAATTCCAAAGGTTAACCCTCCAAAGACAATGAACATTGTACTAAGGATGGTGTGCAACAAGAGTAAGAGGGAAAATGTAGAAGCTGGTAGTAAGACCTTACAGAGGTGAAGATTCAGAAGATTCCATAGAAGCAGACCAGCATAACATTTTCACCTGAAATCATATTGGCCAATCAGTACAGACAAGCTGAAATGAATCCATCCATTTTCATTCACGTATCCGTTACAGACAGCAGTCTCTATGACCACCACCCAAATCACACGGCACCGTACCACCCCCCCTGAACCGTCCTGCGGGTGATGAGTCCACTGGAAGGTACCAGCCGCCCTAACCGCTCAGAAAGTGAACCCTGGGGTTCCACACCAATGACACAGGTATTGCCTCTGGGCCAAAGCGCCACAAGCTAAAATGAGCAATATTCTATTTCTGTAACGATGTAATGTAATGATTCAGACGTATGAGTCATAGCAATTTATAAATACATGTGTGTCTACATAACTGCAGTAATTTACCTGCACTGACAAGGGGTTGTACTGTTGTTTATAGCTATGGCTATAGCTTCAGAACATAATTAATAGTGGTATATACACGCACAGTGTAAGCATTGTATTTATAACAATTACTGTAAGATGAATAAAAAGTGAAAGGGAGATGGAACAAGCAGCTATAAAAGCCCAGGTAGTGATAAAATCCTTCATGGTGATAAATACAGACCTCGGGGCAGATTTCAGATGGCTGACTGTCACGGTTGTACATGTGCCTACTAGTCCTCATCATTCCTAATTTTGACTCTTTCACAGTAATTATTTAGTTATTTTAGTGAGACTTTTTCTCCCTTTGGGATTTTCGCTGTACTCATGAATGTCAACAGAAGTGGAATGTGCACATCGGATTTGATGGTGCTTTGCCAGTGTCAACGCTTGCTCTATAGGAGAGATAAAATGCTTCTTTGTTGTCAGTTAATATGGTTCCTGGATGTCTTAATGAAATGCTGGTGATGTGCTTTCCCTGAAAATATAAATACTGAGCTGGCCTGGAGGCTGTAGACATGTTATTGTGAAAGGTAAAAACCTGGAGGCTGTAGACATGTTATTGTGAATAGTTACGTAAAGGTAAAAATTATAATCATTCAATTCAACTTGTGTAATTTCTTCGGCCTCTGTATCTTTAAACATGAAGGGGAAAAAAGCATGTCCTTCTTTTTGCCGCTGGTGAAACAGAAATAAAACATTATTTGCTGCCTTTCAGAGACACGTCTCCTCCCAAAGGAGTTGCAAAGGTATTTCAAACATCACACAAACTATTCTGATCCAAAAACTTTCATTTCTTCCTTAGGCATTTATGTGGCCCGGAGGCTTGTGCTTATTTTAAACGATATAGGTCAAATTTTAACACAGACTCATCAAACGTCTTCTTTCTGTTATCTGCCTTTGGGCTTTTGTGACAGACTTGGTAGAATTGAACTTGATGTCATCCTCTGACTCATAGAATTTTGGCAATCAACAGACTGTGTAGGTTAAGGATTATATTTTACACGTTCAGAAATTCAAGACCCCTCTGCAGTACCTCTATGGACCCTCCACAGTTCACGTGCTGCTTTACAGATTCACCTTTCATCTATTACATTTCATTGAAAAGCTTTGATCATTTGTGTTTTCCAGCCAGAGAAACTTCATATAATTTTTTTTTCTCTGCACGTCACGGGAGTATTACCTGTATCTGGAGGGAGGAGGAGGGAAAAGGAGGGAAGGGAGGGGGGAGGAGGGAAAGCAAAATGCATAATGTGACTCAACTAAAAAAATTAATTGTTATTACATTTGTACAACTGACAGATGGGGCTGTTTCCATGTGGGTGAAAGGAGGAACAACACAGAGAGAAGACGTGGAGGTGTTGACAGTTGTCCTCACCTTTTTTTTGGAAAGCTGAGGCACAGGGATGAAGACCTCCCGCTGCTGTGAAGACTGAGTACCCATATGTGTTTGTACTGAATCAGAGGAAGGAAATGTCAATGAGAGGTTCATGCAGGCTGTGCGGTGGCTGCGTGGCGTGTCGGTACATGTATATGTATGTGTGTTTCTTGCAGATAACTGCACAGCCTCGTCTCAACTTGTTTCCTCATATGTATTTAGAAAGTGTTTCTGCCTCCTGACCCTAATAATTAATGGCTTCCTGCCTGCACACTGTGTGAAAACTGTCTTTTGTATATTTGTGTGTATGTATGTGTGTGTGTGTGTGTGTGTCCCTCTATTTGTGTGTTTCTTCTTTGGCACATGTTCCTTTATAAATACTGGCTTCTTTCAGGACCTGCAGTTCTCATGGGTGCAGAACTTTCAGAGTCTTTGGTGAAAGTCAGCAGTAACAGGTCAGTTGAGGTTCAGTCAGATTTTAGTTGAGCATTTGTTGATTATGGATCTGATTAGGTCAAGTGGAGTGGAGGTTAGCGCTCTGCCTTACAGGAGAAAGGTCAGCAGTTTGGGTCCAGCCTCTGTGTGAACTCTTACTTTCTACCACAGCCCACAGACATAGTCTTTACTTGAGACTGTCCATCTGTCCATTGTGTACCCTGGGTTTGTAGTAGACCAGGTGTGGGCAAACCTTTTGATTTGTCACAATTGTCCTAAAACAGAGGGGCCGGGTCAGGAGTAGATAGATGGAGATGGTTTGTGTGAATTAAGATAAATCACATGTAAAAGTCATGCACAAAGGCTAAAATGCTAAAATGCTTTTATCATTTTCGACACTGTTTTTTGGGAACATATTGCAGGGAAAAGGCAGAAGTATAATGATAATATAAATAAATTATATAATTTGGGAAAGTTTGGCGGACTGGATTAAAAAGCTGAACGGGCCGCTTCCAGCCCCCGGGCCTTAGTTTTCCCATTCCTGGGGTGGTCATAGATGGTCTATGATGGTGATGGTGGTTACAACAGTCTCTGTAGGTGACAAGGAGAAAAGGAGCACTTCAGAATGGGAAGAAGTACAGCTTTATATAATTATCTGAGAATTAAAAAATATTGTATTCATCCATGTTTGATTTTATTTTAATCATTTTTAGTTTTGGGCCACCCCCCCGTCCCCCCTCTCCCACAGGAGTCTGTGTGAATGCTTGGGCCTCTTTGATTGTCATCTCTTTGTGAGAGAGAAATACAGGCCTCCTTTGATGTTGTCATCCTTCTCTGCCCCCCGTCAGACCTGTGTGTGTGTGTGTGTGTGTGTCCATGGTTTAACCCCTTCAGAGGTACCTTTTCTAATCCCTTCTCTTCATTTTGTTGCAGGGCTCCTGTTACTTAGCTACCAGTTGCCACGGTTGCTCGGGCTGATGGGGTTACCCTGGCAACCATACCCATCCCATTTTGTGGCAATTTAGCCACAGTGGGCCTGTCCCACACACACACACACACTGGCTTTTGTGTTATGTGAGCACTTCACATAAACATTATGCGTCCACTGCAAGCCCCCAAGCAAACATATGTTACAAACATATTCCCAATCCCAATCCTGACCCAAATTATAATCTGATCCTAATTCTGATCCAAACTTAAAAATAAATCTTGAACCTCAAAACAAACTTACACTTCATCCATAAGGAGTAATTGTCCCGATAACGGTAGTATTTTTGCAAAAAAAAAAAACAAAAAAAAAACCCATCCCTGGTGTGCGTGCGTGTGTGTGTGAACGACCACATACATTCCAGCATATGTGCGTGCATATGTGAGTCATGCTGTCATCACAGCTGCTAATATATGCACTGACAAGTCGCTAACATGTGCACTAATACTCTGTCAGTCAGTTACAGAGGGTTTGTAAAATTACAGAATAAATAACCTCTCTTCTTCTGCAGGCACCAAACAGACTGTGAATACACACAAATACCACAATTAACCCGGTGTTACTGTTCAAAGTATATTAATGCAAAAATCA